ATGGCAAAGGTCTTCGCTGGTCTTGCTTAAAGTGCAGGTCAACCGAAGTTGATCTCTTTAAGTTGTTTAGGCAAACCAGAAATGGGTTCTCTGAGGTAGGGAGAGAGTTGTCGGTACTGACCGAAAATATAAAACTTATAACTGTTATGACCCTGATTTTTACACCCTTGGCGCTCGGTGCTACTTTTATGGCATTCCAGCCCAACCATATTTATTTAGTATATGTATTTTAAAAGTTTGGAGATACTCAATCAAAAATTACTTCGAATTAAGTTTAAAAATATTACATACATTTTCCGAAGAAGAAACATTTTTTTTTTTTTTTGATTCAGGTCAAATGGTTTACATGGAAAATTGGCGTATGATCATGTTCCTGGGCACGCCGGTTATGCCTGATCTCAATTCACTCATAACAACCGGGTTGTATATCAATGATTTGTCAATGCATGACTTTAGCAGGTAAATAAATATAACAAGCGATGTTTACATGTCTTATATAGATATCGAATTTATCACCCGTTAAATATTACTACTCTTCAGAGATCTCATGTTGGCCGGTACACAGCAATCCGTCGAACTCAAATTAGCGCTCGATCAAGAACAACAAAAGTCGAAGAAGCTAGAAGAGTCTATGCGTAAGCTGGACGAAGAAATGAGACGTACAGATGAGTTGCTTTATCAGATGATACCAAAGCAAGTGGCTGATCGGCTGAGACGTGGCGAAAATCCGATTGATACATGTGAGGTAAATGATTTAGAGATACGTATTAATATTAATCCTACTAACAGGCCTATGCTGCCTGTTTATTTTGAAAAATTCTCTAAGATGGTTGCCACCTGTTCAAGAATTTTAAATGAGTTTAAATAACAAGTTAAGCGAAATATTTTAATATGGATATCAAACAAGAGAGGTTTAAAAAATCTTTATTTCAAAAATATTCTTAAAGGGGTTGCCACCTGTTTGAAAACCTAAAATCAATTTACGTAACAAGTTAAATAAAATATTTGAATATGGGTATCAAACGAGAGAAATTTAAGGAAAGCTGGATCTATTTCTGAAATATTTATTACTGGGGTTACCACCAGTTCAGAATTTCAAAATCAATTTCGTTTACCAGTTATATTGTTACGATTATCCTCGAAACCTTGAGGGATTACCCAAATATACT